AATAGGGCTTGTTGTGATAGGACAAGTGGTAATGATTTTAAACTAAAAGAGGGTAGATTCAGGCTACAGTGAGGATGGTGAGACACTGGAACAGGTTGCCCAAAGATAATGTAGATGGCCCATCCCTGGAAACATTCAAGGCCAGGTTGGATGGGGCTCTGAGCAACACAATCTAGTTGAAGATGTTTCTGTTCATTGCAGGAGGGTTGGACTAGATGATCTTTAAAAGTCCTTTCCAACCCAAACTATTCTACTATTCTATGAATATGGCCCTAAAGACCTTGTCCATGGTCATGCTGAGTTTTAAATAGAACAGAAAGTTGATGTTGGATGTTCCCCAAGTCCCCCAGGTCAGGCAGGAAAAATTTGGGGCAAGCAGGATTTCTATAAGTAATCTTTTAATGCATTGACAGTTTTAGTTGAGCCAGAGGAAAGCACAGCCGTCTCACCTAGTTTCATAAGGTCCTGTAGGAGCTTCTGGCAGATGTTCACAAACCTGCTTTGCCCAGGGATTCCTTTCTTCCCAACAGCCAGTTAGCTCCCTCTGCTCTCTGTGACCTTTTTTTCCATTTAAGAGACCAAGTGCCTCATTTTCAATTCAACTGAAGATTATTATAATTGAAGTGAATTATGAAAAACCTTTTGTCACATTTTTCATTCTGGCTCATTCAAATCCCATTTCTAGTTTCAGAGATCTTTGGTTGATCATATTAGTATTTATGATTTGCATGAACATAAGTCACTACATTTAAATTTAAGTTAGTGGATGAATACCATCCAATGAAACTGTCCTTTAGTAAGTTCTTTGTAATACATAAATAACTGCTGAGAACATAACAAAGGCTCTTTGTGTTATTGCACAGTAAAGTCAAAAATGTTCTCAAAGCAAAGTTTGTTTTCAATATAATAACATACAGCTCATAAATAAAACAGCTTGTCATGCCATAGACAAAAATGTAGTCCTTTAGATTCCATGAACATCTTCTTCTCTCTATATTAACAATAGAAACAAATGTATGGTCAGACCATTTATATTTCACTCATTTCTTTCTTTTATTCTATTTGATATATTACTTCTTGTCTAAGGACACAGTCCTGCAAGAATCTTACTGCTGGCACAAATGTCTGCCCGCACAAAAGGCCTTACAGTATTGGGAGTTCAGTCAGTGAATTCAGGACTGTTTTGATATATTTTAGGGTAGTGCCTGTTACTGATCCTGACTGGAGACTTTAAAATCTGCAGAAAATGGAAAATGTAGCAAATAATTTTTTCTAATACTGCAGAGGAGGATGAAAATAAAGACAGATTTTTTTTTTATATTAGGTGTGCTAAGAACAGGAGGATGTATTCAAACTTTCCAGTGAAAGCTTAGATGCCTAATATTTTATTTTAGGAAACTGAATATGTCTCCAAGCCATCTCTATTAGCTGAAGCATCCTGTTAGGATGATCCATTTGGAGACTTCTTCACTGGAAATGATGGAAACAATTTCAGATTCACCAGTGTTGGTAGGAGAATCAAACAATACTCCCTACAAGAAAGTACCATAATTCATCTGGGAAATTTTGTTCCTTAGTAATTTTTCCTCACACTCTTGCATCCTTTCATTCCACAGTATAATGACTGTAGAGACAGATGCTGATCATATCCTAATTCTCCCTTGTGCTGTCTTTTATATTTCAGAATTTCATATCTTTCTTTTGGAGTGCACTAATGGGAAAAAAATTATGCTAATCCACAGTGCCATCTCATTTCTCAGTAGTGTGTGTTTCTCTGCCACTACAACATCTGTATTTATATAGTTCCAGGAAGAATAATTTTTTACAGAGTGAAGAATGGTTGGTAGCTGAAATACTTCAAAAGTATGTAAATGCTGCCCTTTTCTGCTGGGGATGGATCAAATCCCTGGAGACTGGTGCTGGTTTTGACTGGGATAGACTTAATTTTTTCCATAGTAGCTAGTATGGGGATATGTTTTGAATTTGTGCTGAAAACACTGTTGATAATACAGGGATGTTTTCATTATTATTGAGCAGTGCTTACACAGAGTCAAGGCTTTTTCTGCTTCTCACCCCACCCCACCAATGAGTAGACTGGGTGTGCACAAGAGGCTGGGAGAAGACACAGCCAGGACAGCTGACCCCAACTGACCAAAGGGATATTCCATACCATATGGCATCACGCTCTGCAATAAAAATATGGGGGAAGAAGAAGGAACATTGGATGTTCGAAGTTATGGTGTTTCATCTTCCCAAGTAACCATTACGTGTGATGGGGCCCTGCTTTTCTGGAGATGGCTGAACACCTGCCTGACCATGGAAAGTAGTGAATGAATTCCTTGTTTTGCTTTGCTTGCCTGAGTGGGTTTTACTTTACCTACTGAACTGTCTTTTTCTCAACACACGAGTTTTCTTATTTTTACTCTTCCAATTCTCTTCCCACCAGGGAAGGAGAGTGAGCGAGTGGCTGTGTGAAGCTTAATTGCTGGCTGGGGTTAAACCACGAGAAGATCTCAGATCAAAGTAGCCAAGATTTGTGCAGAGTACAATTTACTTTGCTAAGAAATCATGAACCAGATGCCACCATTGGAAAATTTCTCTTACTTTTGGGAAAGTCCCTTTCCATCATGGTTTCTGAATTATTTTTCATCAAGAAGCAAAAGACAGTTCTGACCCTCACACAATTGGAGCAGTATGTAGCTATTATTCCCACCAATAGGCTGGGAATGACATTATCAGAGATCCATAGTCTTCTGATTCTTCCCTTTCACTTCTTTGCACTACTCTGGGAAAGTAAAAGTATTCTTGCAAGTATGTCACTCTTCTGTCCATGGTCACCCCATCGTACATGAATTCCATAATTTGCGTTTCACAATTAGGAAATTAAATACTAGGTCTACACCGCATTTTCCCCATACACATGATGCAAGCACAGGTTGTATGAAAGTAAAATTGTATCAGCAATCTGGTTCCAATGTTTCATAACAGGTTGCTTGATTGTCATTTTGTTTTGTATATTTTAATTTCAGTGGCTTTTCTGTGAATAGACCCATTTATTGTTCTGCACCCTATTTTTATTTTTTCTCTGGGCATTGCTTGACCTACTAATATTTCAGAAATGTCATGGTTGTTATAAGTGATTTCAATTCCCTTTCCATCCACTGTTTCCCATTTCCACTCACTTGTGAGATATAATTCATTCCCATGTACAACCACAACAGCAAGGTTCAAATTTGCCTTACTTTCATGTGGACTTTCCACGTTTCCAGTGACATAAGCTTGGGACCATGGCCATTTGGTGTTGTGATTCTGAGTCAAGGGAAATTGGGTGGTCAGGGCATAGAATAATAACATAGATACAACCTGTTGGTTTGCCATCTTCAAAATTTAGGTTTCCAGAATATGATGCACAGCAGAAATAGTATTACAACTAGAACTAATAACAGTGCTCCTTGTGTGCATTCAAGGTCTGTGTAGGCCAATCCATCCATCCACATACAGTTCATCTGGCATCCCTGTAAAACAGAAAAGAAAGAGAAATATGCTTGGTCAAAAAGGCAACCAGCTATGTTTAAGATGAGGGTAAGATCCATGGAGTACTCATTTGGTGTATTTTCCCAGAGCAATCTCTAGCTTCCCAAGCATAGAGATTCTTAGGGGTGACTAGTACTATTGGTATTATCTCAATTTGAGGCATTTTTACAGAAACAGGCTGTCCAGCCTGAAACCCAGTTGGGTATTTCCCAGGTTCAGTTTGGGTCTTTGGGGCAACTGCATTAGTGGATGTGCAAAAGGCTTTCACTTTTGGACAGCCATCTCCACTCCATCTGTTGTTCAGCTGGTAGATGGCATGGGACAATAGCTGATGCCATCCGGGTTCATGAGTTTTAGCAAATCGCTTAACTAATCCATTGGTACATTCAGTGATACCATTTGCCTGGAGGTAGTATGGAGTATGAAATGCCCAGTGAATTCCTTCTTCCTTAGCCCAATCTCGCACTACTGCAGCTGTAAAGTGTGTCCTGTTGTCACTTTGAATTTCCTCTGGAAGGGGGAGTGTACTGAATAACTCCTTCAGGCCCTTCACTGTGTTTGCCCCAGTTTGCAAATCCAGTTGCTACTGTGAGGCCAGAAATAACTTCCACACCTACTAAGATGCACTTTCACCCACCTGATGACCATAATGGACCAATGTAATCAATCTGCCAGGTGTTCTACAATGTTTTCTTATCCTGAATGTGCAGGGGGGATGCCTTGCTCGTATGAACCCTCTTGAGTAGCAATCAGCATTGTGAACAGGCAGTCATTACCTGCTCACACAGTTTAATAGATATGGGCCATCCTTGGTGTATCAGGGTGAATTTATGCTGATACTTTTGGTCTGTGTTTGGCCCAGACAACTGTAAAAGTTTTTTTCTTTCCCTGCCAAGTTATAAGAAAACAAGTTCTGATAAACGGGTACCTCGCCCTTGGAGAGAGAGCTTCTTGTATAAACTGTTTTAATTGGTGTTCTGTGATTGGCTAATCATCCTCCAAGGTCACTTGAAGGAGAAAGTGAAGACTATAATGATGAAGTAGCGCCCCCAGACTCATTTGGAAAAGACCCCCCGAGTGCAGTACGCAGGCGCAGGGAAAGCCACGCGTGCGCAGAAAAGATGCACTTATATAACCAAGGGGGTGGGACAGAGAGCCTCTGGCTGGGCGGTGATGACCACTCCTGCCCAGGTTGAGGTCACTCAGTTAATTGTATAAAAGCAGATAGTGCTTTCTTGGAGGCAAGCTAGCTTTACCTCAAGGACAATGTTGCCTTTGGTAGGGACGCCTGCCAGTTTGTGAACTTACTGACTCTCCAAGGACGCAGCTTCTGCTATGGGTAATTATAGGCATGCTAGGTTGGTAAGATAACTTTATGGGCAACAGCTGGGCAACTGGAGAGGTTGTGCTGGGGGCTTATTTCTCTCCTCCTTCCTCCCTTTTGGGTTTGTTTGTTTTGTTGGTCACCTCTTGGTAATAAATATTGGGTTTTGTGGAGCTTTCAACAGTGTCATGGTTTCAAGATTCAGTATGGTCTGAACCCTCCCTAATACACTTGGTCAATGCCCTCTCGGTATAAGTCAGCCCATCCAGTGTGGCCTCGCTTAACATGTAACCATTCGAGCAGGTGTTCCTATTCCTGGTCATCGTTTACAAGTTTAATTTCCTGCAGCTGGGTGAGGCTATCCACTTGTTGGTTAAACTAGGCAGTGATTGAACCAGATCAATCATGTCCTTTGACGCAACCAATGTGCAACACTTTCTTTTCTCCTATCTCCAACAACTGTTTCCAACTATTAGTTTTCCAGACAGGGACTCAGTTTACTTGCCAGTCATTGGCTGCCCAGTGACCTATCCACTCCATGGCTCCTTGGAGCATATGAATCAGTGTAAATGTGGCTAGTGAAACAAGAGTCAGGCCTAAGAGAGTTAACTAAGATAGGCCTTTTAACATCTACTCTGCCTGAGCTACCAAGACTCGTTCTGTTCTGCCTACTGGACCAAAACTTAGAAGAATGCTAGAAGCAGTATACAATAGGCCTAGAGGTAATAAATTAGGATAAGGTAAGATAAGGTAGACATTTGAATAGGAGAAACAGGCCTGGAGCCAAGGCTTTCTCCAAGCTTCAGTGAGCGGGTTGAGAACAATGGAAAGGTAGAGAGGTCAGACCGATGAAGATGAGAAGAAGACCCCAAAACCCAGGCGGAAGGCTGGAACCCCCACCGAAATTGGGGGCCAAGAAAAGCACCTCCCTAAGCTCTGCCTGAGCTCCGCCTATACTTCGCCTATCATTAATATGTATAAGAATCATATATGAAAATTGCATAAAACCCCTGATTTTGTGTGATACCTCTGAGCAAGTTTTCTGTGGTGCGAACCACGCTTGCTCCCAGCGTTGTAATAAATACCTTGCTGCTCAAAAGATCCAAAGTCTTTGAGCAGTTCTTTGTACTGGATTTTTCGTCATCAATTTGGCGACCGCAGGCACGACACCTTCCTCCACCTGGCTGCAGAATCCGTCGGAGCTCAGGACCCCCTTGGGTGCCCTTGGGTAAGTTCTTTTTACCCGAAGGGGCTCCCCTCTTTGGTGGCTTCCTGCAGGGTCTGGACAAGAATGCTGCCTATTGATAAAAGGTATTTATATTTGGTTTTGTCTATTTTGGTTTTGGAGTTCCCATAAGACGAAGACGGGACGCTGTCTCGCTGGGTGTAACAGAAAAGGATACTTTTCCTGGGGTGATAGCCCTTGAGAGCTGGTATGTTCCAGATTTGTTTGTATTTGGCCAAATATTGTTTATTTTGAGGGAAACAAGGTATCTAAGTTTCCTTTTGGTTGTTCTTTTGTTTGTGGTATTGGTTCCCTTAAGTTCATAACCACCGTATGAACTGGGAATTGGGGCGCCGCTATCGTGTTATGTACTTCTGGAGTGTAGCAGTTGTCATTGTATTTTGTTTGTTATATGTTGCTTTGGTAATTTTGTGTTGTCTTGTTTTGTGTTGGACACAAAATCGAACTTCTGAATTTTTTGTTCGTTCTGAACCAGTCACAGAAACATCTTGTTAAGGGTTTTTATGGGAAGGGGATCTGAAAAATTGACTGTGAATACACCACACAACCTAAGACCTAGAATTAGAATTTGTCCGTTCTGTAATTGTTCATTATACATACGTGCTTTATGTAATATTTGTTGGAAATATATTCTTGGACCCCAGTCTACCCAAGAAATAAGGTTAGATCAGACTCTAAACTTATATTGTATTAGATGTGGAGCTAATAAAAGTTTGGAGGAAACTCGGTGGGCTAGGTTCTATTGTTGCATGACATAGATATGTGTATCTCTTGAAACATTCAATTTGTTATGGTGTGTATTTTGTGGTCAACAGCGGCATCTTGTGGATTTGTGTAGATATACAAATTGGTTGTGAAGACCAGGTACATTTGTGGTCTAAGAGCGACATCTTGTGGATTTGTCCAATAGTACAGATTGGTTGTGAGTTTCATGGATTTAGGAGGTTTTGATCGATTTAGATTTGAAGAGTAGATATTATTTTGTCAATATAATAGTTGTGATCATTAGTATTTGATATTTTATTTTAATAATGGGGGTCAAAATGAGTAAAGAAATAAATGCCAAAACTCCTGCGGGGTGTATATTAAAACACTGGAGAGATCTGGGAGGAATCCCCAGGGGGAATCTGAGTAAAAAGATCTTTTTAAAATATTGTCAAAATTGGTGGCCACTGTATATATTAGATGATGGTGAGAAATGGCCACTGCAAGGAAGCCTTAATTACAATACAATTTTACAGCTTATGTTGTTCCTCTGCAGGGAACAGAAGTGGGATGAAGTGATATATGCAGATATGTTTTTCACTTTAAGAAATAAACCAGAATGGCAGAAAAGTTGCAGAACTAATGTAGCCCCTCAAGATCCCCTTGTTTTGGCATTAGAGAAGAGTCAGAAAAATAGTGAACCGAGAAAGCATTGTTGTGATGCATGCAGTATAGGTCAAAGATATCTTGAGCTAGGAAAGATAGTGACAAGGAAAGTATCATAGACTCTCAAGAACTGCAGCCGACTCATTTTAGAGGACCAGAGCCAGTTAGGCAGGGACCTAGCAGCCCGCAGGAGTCGGGACTAGATGCGGCAGAAGATTCTGAAAGCATAACAGAGAGCGTAGAGGACCCAGAAGAGGGAGTGAGTAGCATATATAGTGGTCAAACTGTGGGGCAGAAAGCCAAGAGTAAGACGGGGTAGAACAAAAGCTAGAACTGAGACTAGCCACAGTTGCTCCTCTGCCACAGGTAGTAACACCTACAGGTAATCAGACAAGAGTAAAAGCACCTTTTTCAACAAGCGATTTGAATAGCTGGAGGGAGGAAGCTAAATTTTTTAGGGAAAATCCTGAGAAGGTGGCTAAGAGATTTGAATTAATTGCGAAAAATCAGGACATTGGTTGGTCAGACATAGATATGACACTATCAGAACTGACAGAAACAGAAAAGGAACTTGTAATAAAAACAACAAGAAATCATGTGGAGGGACAGATTGCCACTAATGTTTTAAGAGGGAATATAGATGTAATTTTTCCACTACAAAATCCTAACTGGGATCTGAATAACCCTGATCAGTATAAATTATTGGAGCAGTATAGGAAATTGGTCCAGACAGGATTGCGAAGCGCTATTCCTAAAGCGGTGAATTGGGCTGCCTTGTACGATGTAAGGCAAGGATGGGACGAGACTCCTACTGCATTCTTAGACAGGCTTAGAGTTGCTATGAGAAAATACACTACCTTGGATCCATCATCAGATGCAAGTAAACAACAATTGGTGGGGTTGCTAATGGGACAAAGTAACCCTGATATTAGAAAAAGGTTACAGAAAATAGATCACCCTGCTAATAAAGATTTAGAGGTGTGTGGTGGTTTACTTTGGCTGAACGCCAGCTGTCCGCCGAGCCTGCGCAGATTTCCCCTCCCCCTTCCCAAGGAGAGACGGAAGAAAAAAAAACGTGAAAAAATCTCACGCTTACCAAGAACAAAAGTTTATATTTACATGGAGAAAAAGGAAGGAATAAGCTAATAATGCTACAAACACACAGGCAAAGGAAACCAAGAGTAAAAAAAAAAATTCTACCTCCCTCACTGAATGGCACCTCGGACAGGCACAGTTGTCTATCCAGCCATTCCCGGAAGGAAGAAGAAGACCGAGTTAACTTTCCCTCCCCTTATATAGCCGGGCTGACATAACATGGCATGGAATATCCTGTTCTTCCCAGGAAAAGGAAGTGCTATTTGACTACACAAACCCATTACAAGGTGTTAATGAATTGTGGTGGTTTGAGACCCCTCAAAAATCCAATTTCCAAGTTCAAGCCCCCCTCCCACAATTTGCTTCAGTGTGAGAGGGTTTTCAGACAAAACACAGCTACTCAGCATTGAGGGAAGGGGAAAATACTTACAAGGTTTATTTACTTACATATATATAGGTAACAACTAAACTATCTCTTCTACGATGAAATCATCATCATCATCATGGCTAGGCTTCGCGAACGAAGATTTAGGAAGGCTCTATCCACATTTGTTACAAGCACGCTGGTGGCTAACGAGGCCAATACGAGATAGACATATCCGATTGCAAAAGGCACAGCAGAAAGACTCCTTAGGTGGTATATTCTGCAAGACACGGTTCTTTCTGCATTGTCTTTTCTCCTCGAGAGTGATCCTGCGTGTGTTCTCAAAGGAGACAGCAGTGTTATAGATGGTGTGTCTCCAGGCCTCCCGATTGGAGGCCAGAGTAGACCAGTTATGATGAAATAATATATTTACATTAGATTAGATTTCTCTTTTTCTTCAACAAGAGTCTGGGAAGAAAAAAGTCTTTTTGTCACCTTTCAGGTCACAGTTCCTTCAAATTAGTTTCTGTAGTATTAGTTAGTGTCCTTTATTTTTAAGGAAGCAGATTTGAGTATTGTAGTCAGAATTTTCCTGTTCTTACTTTGTGAAAATCCCAATCCCTCAAGCCCGAGCCTTCGGGGGACTTCCTTAGAGGCTTTCACTCCTCTCTGGTGCTGCTGCATTTCGGAATTCCCTTCAAATGGAAATCCACCCCTCTTTCCAAAAGAGGGTCTCTGAAAGGGGTTTTGGGGAGATTTAATTCAGTCTTATCCCCAAAACAGTCTTCACTGAGTTTTCTCTGTTCTGTTGCCAGCTCTCCGTCATTGCAGGACATCTCTCTGCATCTTTGAGCCTGGCTCCACGCCATCTCGCTGCTGCTGGCTATCTTTCTGGCTTTCAGCCACCGCTGTCTCTGTTCATCTCTGCAAGCAACCATCTTCCTTCCCCCTCACAGATGAGGGGGAAGAAGGTGTGATCCAGGGGTCTCTCCGATTCTTTCGGAGTCCCCGTCAATCACCAGCCTCAGTGGGGGCTCCACTCAGCTACTGTGCTGCTCCAGGCCCCCCAGCCAGGGGCTGAAGGGGAGGGCCTGCTGGAGGGGGGGGCCTGCTGGCCCTCCCTCCTCATGGCTTCACAACATGGCTACAACTTT